GAGGAATTTGGGATTTTCAATAAAGATTAATGAGAAGAAAAACTGTGAATTTTATTGAAGGAAAAAAGAGAAAAAGAAAAAAAAAAAGATAATGTATTTGGAACTCAGATGAAGACGATAAAGTAATAAAATGAGAGAAGAAGAAGAAGAAGAAGAAGAAGAAGAAGAAGAAGAAGAAGAAGAAGGGAGAATTAGAGAAGACGGAGAAAAAATGTATAGAAATGTAAATAAAAAAGGAGAAAATGAAAAACATATTTTAAAGAATTGTTAAAGAATATCAAGATTTTCTTAACTTGCTAAAATTCATATTTTGGAGAAGCAATTTGAATGGAGTTTCTTATTTTAATTTCTTCTTTACTTTTTCTTTCATTATTCGGTTTATAATGTTATCTTTTAATATCTTTTCAATCGTTCAAGTTTCGATCTTTGACAATTTACCTCGAAATTATCAAAGAATACAAAAAGAATTTTGAACAGATTATTCATTCAGACAAGACAATAATTAATTTTTCTATAAAATTGTCTTCCGTTCATTAATGACAACGCAACTTCTCGTTTCTCTTAGACGAGATTTAAGACGAAAAAATTCAAGCTGTTTCGATTCAACAGCCGATCATTGGAGATACTAATTTGCTTGGTTAGCGTCTGCCAATTCAAGTGTCATGAATTTTGATTTTAACAACTTTTTTCTATTATTATTTTCAGTCTGTTTTTTTTAAATTGAAATTAACAAAATATTAACACTTGATTGCTTATTGCTATCACGGCAGTTCATGTTACAAGTTGCTTACCAATATTTCACTAATTTTTGAAGGTTGGAAAGAAGATGAGGAAAAAGAAAAAAGTAGATAGAGAGAAGAGAAAAGTTTAATGGAGAATGAAAATAAAAAAAGAATGGGAAAAATGGGAAGAAAATAATCGAAAAGCTTAGGAGATCGGACAGAAAAAGGAAAAGAGGATATAAAAGAATGGTGGGGGAAGAAATAAAAGAAGAAATAATGAAAAGGGGGAGAACAGAAGGCAAAGGATGACAAGAAGAAGAAGAAAGCAGAGAGAAAAGGATAAGAAGGAAGACAGGAAAAGATGACAATGAAGAAAGAGATAATGATAATAAGAAAAGACGAGGAAAAGGAGGGAGAGGAGAAAACGAAAAGAAAAGAGTGGAGGGAAAAAGAAGGAGGAAATAAAAGGTTTTAAGAGAAGAAGGATGAAAAGACAAAGTGTAGGAAAATAGAAAAGAGGAGGAAAAGAGATTCAAAGACTAAAAAGAAAAAGAGATAAAAAGAAGAAGAATACTATTGTAAAACTGAGAATATATATTGTAGCAAATGGCAATAATGCTAAGGAAAAGAAAATATGCGTGGGGCGAGTCGTAAATGCAAATGTCTGATTGGTTCTTAATATATTTCAATGATAGTAGTGCTTATATATTGTAAATGGCAAAAAATACGAATACTTTGAGCGTTGGCTAAATTGGCGGTTATATGTGTGTCCTTCATTGAATCTGTTTTTGAAAGCTTATTTCTGCTAATTTGGATTATTGAAAGGAATTTCTCATGATAATTTTGTTGTGCTTGAGGAACATATGTTCCATTTTTTAAAGAGTTTAAAATAAAGCAATTCCAGCTTCACGACAGAACAGAGTTAGGTATTGTTATACGTATGTTATTATTTATGTTGTCTGATATTCTTTGATGAAGTGTTGGCATTTATATTAATTTTGAACTCATGTTTCTTTCCTCATATTTTGATGTTCATGGCATTTTCGCTTTAATGTTAGAACTTTTAAGCAATCTAGGGTGTCTTGGAATGGTGTAATAGAGAGCTAATTTGTTTGGTTATTACTGAGTTCGACTTGGTACTGTATGTTTGTGACTTTGCGTTAAAATAAGATAATTTTAGTAAAGCAAGATGCTGTCCTAATCTGACAGATATCCTGTAATTGGGGATACGATTTCAGATATCACTAGAAATATATATTTTAACTTCTATTAATGCTTCTCCGTTGATGATCTTGTTAAAAACAACATGGAATAAAACCTAGTACAAATAATTAGAATTTTGTTTTTTCATTGGAAAATTGGCGATTGTATTTGAGTTTTGAAAAACAAAACTAAAAACAATATCGTAGGCAACATTACAAACGTTTGATGAACCGTGATGTGTTAGCACGTAAGGAATTTAGCCGGGGCGGAAGGTGTTAAATCGCATCACTTCCGGTGCTATAGAAAAGTTACAGTTGTTTAGAAGGGACAACTTACAGGGAATCTAGTATAATATAATGAAAGTAAAGAAATTGAAAACATTCGTTGCATAATCGCGGATATAAATCCTTCTTTTTTTTTTATCTACCCTAAGATAAAAAGTTCTAGAGAGAAACATTTCTCTTTTATATTTTGTATCGACCATGAGAGATTGCTGATAATATAAAACAATTCTAAGGCAAACAAAGTGGACGAGTGTGTGTACGTGCCCTCCTCCTCTCTCTCTCTCTCTCTCTCTCTCTCTCAATATATATATATATATATATATATATATATATATATATATATATATATATATCCGTGTATTTAGGCAGCAAAATCTCTTTTAGGCATGTCCGATTAAATAAATTACAAACTCCTTTCATATTCCGAATATTTAGTGAAAATCTCAGAAAGAGATGGAAAGTACTTGGGAAATAAAAGTAATTTTCACTGTTACAGTGCATTTCTTACCTCATTTGATTGTAATATACGGAAAAATAGTCGAATATGAAAGGGTTATGCTAAAATAATCAGTCATAATGTTTGTAATTTATTTAATCAGACACACACACACACACACACACACACACACACACATATATATATATATATATATATATATATATATATATATATATATATATATAGCAGACTTGGTCTCTTCAAATAAATAGCGCTGTTATTTCTTTCTCCTGGCTGTCTTAATTTAAATTCTCATTAATCAGAGGCCACAATGAGAAGAGGCAGCGCCAAGCATTAAAGCATTATTTTTATATCCGACTTTCTGTAACACAAGCCATCAACTAATTTTTGCCTCCTATTCGGCTAAATCGTAATGAAGTAGAGTTTCGTAACGCAACAAGGACTCATATGTCGCGACTCTCTCTTTCATGGGGGACGGGTTAGGCAATTCAGCTACAGAAGCCAGCGATTAGACGGACAAAAATCTTGTCATAATATCACATCTCTACTCCAACGAATCTTTTTTTTTTTTTTAGTTACTACTTAGTGATAATCTTAAGCAGCGGCGGATTTGGAGTTTTATTGCACGGGGTGGTCGTAGAATTTGTTGTCTCTCAAAACAACATTCTAAAAGTAAACAACATCTACAATAAATACAAGATTACAATTACGCCAATTTATGTTATTTTGATTGCAAAGAACAGTAACATGAAAAACCGTAGCTATAAAATAGAAAAAAAAAACATTTAAAAATAATTCAAGAAAAAGCTTTTGTTAGTAAATATAACATTTTTGGATAAAATATTAGTACACTTTTAATTATGAAAAAAAGTCCCCGATAGTAACTGACTCATAATGTAACACGCAAAGTAAATATCCAGTGTATTACGTAACCATAAAGTGAATTTAGGTAAAAATGGTACAAGTGGTATGAGAATGAAATTGGCACAATTAATTCTGGATGCTACTTCATTATAACATCTTGGTATAAAAGTTCAAGTAAATCCTGTCTCTTCCCAACAAAAACTTACTGCCCGGAGGGGACCGCCCCTCAGGCCCCTATTTAGATCCGCTAATAGTCATAAGTCATTTTAATTTCGAAAGGAAGTACATTTCATATTTACATTTGACTCGCATTTATTTCGTTTTTATTCTTGATTATCATAACCATCGTGAAATACGAAAAGGCGAATATTTGTAATGAAGAATATTTTATTTCACAATTTACATATCTTAATTCTGTGTCAGCAATTTGATAAATAAATCTTACTTTTGTTTACTCTTCCGTCTTTACAAAAGCAAAATTTCCTTTAAAGGTCGACTTAACCTCCTACGTGGGAGTCCCAGGCTGATCACGTGATCCTACGATCATGTGTGCAAGAGCGCTTTATAAACCAGAGGCCACGTTCAGCTTTTCTCCCTTCATTCTCTTCTTGGTACGCCAACGAACGACCAAGATCGGTTGTAAAGGTCCGGGCTAGGGCCTGAGGTTGGGTAGGATGGAGCTGTATTCACGTGTTAGCCATAGCAGTTGCCATTCCAAACTAACGAGATCGATACGAGCAACGTTCCGGCTTCTTCCTAAGGTACCGTTGCGCTTTTGCTTCGGTTGCTCGGCTTCTTGATATATAGAGAGGGTTTTATTCAGGCCATTTCAAATTGATTGCCTCGTTTCCTTCGAATTCCCCAACTTCTCTCTCTCTCTCTCTCTCTCTCCTGCCACTTTCTCGCTCTCTCTCAAATACAAACATACCATCTTATACACACGTACATACACACGCACTCTCGC